GTGTGTGTGTGTGTGTTGGGGGGGGGGGGGTCGGTTTCGCATCCGCGCCCCCCCCCCTTCAAATAATCCTGGATGTATAATATCAAATTCAAAAAATATTTTAGCATGGATTGGTTGATGGTTGCAGGTTGCGTAGGCAGGAGCAGATCCAGTATTTTTTGAAGGGGGGTCCGAGGATGCGAAGTCGACGCCCCCTTCGGATAAGAAGCCCACCCCGGCTTGGTATGGTTTAGAACTATGAATCAGCTAATCAAAATTCTATTTTCAAGGAAAGAAAATTATGTGTGATCTTTTCTTCAGAACCCCCTAAACCCGCCACTGTATGACGTGGTGCTATGGCGGGAAAGCTACTGAATCAATTCAAGTTTGGTCGCTTTTATTGATAAGTCTGCCCTGAAAGTTCCTGGTAAGATGACTTCATATGCAGAAGCTTCTTTGGTAGATCTTGGATCAAATGGAAACTTTAAACCTAAGCTTGTCAAGCAGAGGGCCAGTTTCGTTGTACATGTACATGTTTACATCTACAATTACAATCGATAGCCCGGCTGCCGTACAGATGTATATATATATTTCATCTCGCTCAACGCCAGTCCCTGAACATAGTCTTATCTTCTGTGGTGAAGTTCAACCATGTACACGAGGCCTTGTTTGAGAAGACGACAAGGAACGTTCTGTGACATCGTTTTGTGCTGAGATTTAGTTTGGGTTCACCTATGACGTTAAACAGCACAACTGGATCAAAGGCGGCCCACACCTGGACGGTTTTGGTTTAAGCAAGTCCTGTAAGAAGAGGGAGTCATTTCAAAACGTTCAAACGTGTAAAAGCTATTGCAACGATGCGAATTTTGAGAAAAACATATTTGACAAATAATTCTGCAAAGAAGACACCTTTTTGTCCGCTGAACGCGATATACAGGTGGTAAGACAGGGGCACATCCAGGATTTGAAGGGGGGGGGTGTCAGTGATTTTTGATAGGCCTCGGATTAGATACTGCCCCTCTCGGCGCCCTTGTGGTGGGGTTTGGGGCCCCCTAAAGGGTCCAAAATATTTTGGTGTTTTAAAGGTCAAACGGTGCCATTTGGAACGGTTAAGAACTATAAATCAGCTAGTTAAAACTCTAATTTCAAGGTGGGGAATATCAGTGTTATTTTTTCAGAAACCGAAGGGGGGGGGGGGGCAGGACCCCCCTTACACCCCCTCTAAATCCGCCACTGATAAGCCTAAATATCATTTGGATACACTGTCATGATACAAAGACAATTTTGCATCAAATAAGACGTAAAAGGTACATGCATGGACATAATGAGACATTATGTCCATGCTACATGTAGCTATACACTTAATTCTTTCAAATAATCTGTGTAAAATAAAGCCAGTTTGAATACAAATTACCGTTGTATGTTTGGGACATATTTACATTTACAGTAGATCCACTTTATTCTCAACATTTGAATTAAAGGCATTAGTTAGATTTTAAAAATATCGAAATTCGATACGATGCACAATCGAGACTCGCCTACGAGACGAAAGCACGCAAGCCAATAGGATAAATCTTAAAAGCATAATGGCGAGAGAAGCTAAAATTAATCTAGAAAAATAGTTTGGATCCAGTGCTTTGATTGAATGGATGAAAACAGTGAATTTGACACCGAATATAATTGAAAGAGCTATGAACGTGCAACTGTTCGTTTTTAAGGAGCAGAGTCTGTAAAGAAATCTGCGCTAATAACCTAATATATAGGATTCGTACACGTTGCAACACAGCTCAACTAACGCAATGAAGATATAATTAAGGTATAAGGGGACCATTCACAGTGAATTTTGTCGACCGATCTTATGCGCACTAAGTCCACCGGGACTCTTGCTGAATGCCAAGAGATGAAGTAATGTTGCTATTCAAAGACAGAAGAACAACTTTCATTAAAACGGAAAACTGAATCTATTATGGAATATTTTTTCATGTTGGTTGCAATTCAAAAAGGAAGAAAACACTTTCATTAAAATAGAAAACTCAATTTATTATAAAATATTTTTTCACATTGATGAATCGAACATCTACTGCCTGGTGTAAAAAGAGATAATACAAGGTATGCTCACTTAAAAGAATCTTGCCAACATTACAGTGCTCAGAATGCATAGTTACTGTCTTATACACAATTACTAATATAACGATAGAATGACAGTTTACAATGTAAATAATTTGATGGGAGTCTGTCCAAAACTATGCGAAGAATACCCGTAAACGCGTAGATTTGACAACTGCAAATGTGCATTTCAAACATGGATCAAACAGCTAAAAATCACAATATATTGTAAAATGTGGATCAAAACGATGCACAATAACCAGAATAACAGGCCGACACTCCAGGCAGTTTATAAATGAAGTAACTTCCACAATTCTTGACCAGTATGGAGGAGGGATGTGCGGTTGGGATCCAGCTCCTGCAGCAGCCATATCTCCACGTGGCACACACACGGACTCGCGCCTCTGTACCCTTGACAGCAGGTACTGTCCCGTTCAAGTAAAGCGTCACCCCTGTCCCGCAGCCCTTGTACGGCGCACACTGTGAGTGGAGATTATTTAAAAAAAACATGAAAACGCAAAGACTAAGAGAAAAAGAAATACAAAAATACAATAACGTTGCTTGTTAAAAATGATACAGTAAAAATGAATGATCGTGACATACATTTACTGGAGTACAAATGCGCACATGACTTCTTGAGTACGAAAGTCAACGGTGTTTCAGAATTAAGCATACTTTAATTATTTGTTCATCTTTCGTTTATGGGAAACAGGACCGGTGTAACATGACAGAGTCCCCCATAATAGACTAAGAGAGTCCGCTTCCCATTCATTTGTACAGATAAGCCCTTGCCCTAATTTTTGACCCACTTGGGTCAGGCTATAACCATAACCATTATAACTATATGACTTTCTGTTACACGGACTCAGTTTCGTTGCACTGGAGCAAAAGTTTTGATTGTAGGCCTAATACATGAAACTCTGGGCTAGACAGTATCTAAGAAGAACTAGTTTAGCAGCGGGCAAACAATGTCTACTCCATTGTAAAATGCCCCTCCCCTCCCCCAGCACAAAACAATCACACGCCTTCCTTCATACCCCCTTTCCCCCTACAATTTAACGATATTTAACTGTAATTACTGGAAACTATAACCTTCACTATTAGCATGCCAATTCCAACAATTGAAGAAAGTTTCCAGCAAAAATTTAATTAAAAAATTAAGAATATAAATAATACTAATAATAAAAATTATGGTAATCCCCAAACCCTATCCGCCCCAATCCACCAACAACCCTCACCTTATCGGCTAGTTTCGTTCCAGCTGGCGGCATGAAACGGTACCACTGGACGGCCCAAGCAGTATTGTAAGGGTTACTCGACCCATCGCAGTGTGGTGGGGAAAATTCCGTCTGTGTGTATATATTCCTCCAGTGATCAGCCAGTACCGTGTAATTGTTGCATGGATCAACTAAATATAGAAAGGAACCCGACTTATTGAGGTTAATCAGGCCAATTGTAACGGGGAATATTCAATTAAAACTGGATGGTAGGTCTTTAAAAACTTCCTCTTCAAAATAATAGGTACGTGCTAATTTTTCTGCAAAAAATAATTTTCTTATGTTGAAGACTATTGTGTTTTGATAAGTAACCTTTAAATCTATGTGTGTGTTTCAACTCTCCAAGCGTTTTTTCTTACCTGTATCAGTCTCACTTTCGTTCCTGGAAGAGTTCGTAGCAACAGTGATTAAAGCTATCATTAAAGCAACATTAACCAACAGCGACACTACCAACGTCAATATCAACCCTCGACGGTGTAGCGTACAACGCTGACTCTTGTCGTGAAGTTCTCTGTCGGTGCTATCTTGAAGGTCCTTGGGTCTTTTGGTTTTACCTTTGCCATCATTGACAAGGTTTAAGTGAACGTACCCATCGTCTGATTGGCTATTGATTGGGCCAGATGTTGGCGTCAACGTAGAGTAAATTGCCTCACCATGGGGGAATGCTCCAGACGTTGGTTCCATATAGATTGGACTGTTTGGTATTGGTTCTGGCTCTGCTCGACTGAAGTTATGGCCTTAAAGAGACATGGAAATACCATAAACATAGTGACAAATTAGACGTGAAACAAGAATTTCTTGCTTCTTTTCGTATCCAAAAGCGAGTGTTAACTTTTGCATGGATGACGCACCAGTCGTTTAACTATAACATAATAAAGAGATGTGTTTCTTTCAACATTTATTTTATGGTTTTTTTCTTTTGTAACTTACTTTGGCCGCAATTTTCTGTATCATCATAGGGGACTTCATATAGTGTTGAATCTGCCATGCTCACTTGCCTTGTTTATCTAAAAAATAGTTAGTCATTTTAACAAAATTGATTATACTTTCCTTTTGATCTAACAAAAAATATCGCCAGAGAGAGAGAGAGAGAGAGAGAGAGAGAGAGAGAGAGAGAGATTGATTGCAGTCATCCTGCTTACCTTTATCGTATTAAATATATGTTCGTGTCATTCCGTATTCGTGATAAAACTACAACAGTTGTACATGTACGTGTAGACCTGTCGGTGATTGACGTTGATATCCTTCACTGCAGAGTTCTATATTTGAACAATACACTAGGGGGGTTAACCCAGACCTTGTCAACACTTCCAGTCAGTGGTAGTAGAAAAACACATTGTAGGCTAAAAATAGTCACAAAAGGTTGATCTTGCTAAGCTAACAGTGAGGTGTGTTTTGTTAGGGCGTCTTGTTCATTATCTGGTGTGCCATAATCAATAGAAGTTTCAAGGTCATAAAAGAGGAAAAATATCAATGCTAGTTTTTTCTTTCTTTCTTTCTTCTATTTCTGAAGGGGTTGCTGCTTCAATAATTTGGTTTCCTTCCGCATTTTTTCGTTCAATACATACCGATTTTAGAACAAGTATACTTTTTCATAAGATTTATTTCATAGTGGTTATCTAATAAGTAACAGTATTTAAGTGCAGCTGTAGAAATGGTTTTAAATACCGAGAAAAGCCGTTACATTATATTTATAATTACGTCATCGGCATAAATAATAATTTTGTTTACGGATTGGCGGTTTATAAAACCAGAAAGGTTGCAGGCCCATGACGGGGCCGTAGCAATAGTCCGAAGGTTCAATAGTCCGAAGGTTCATTGGTCCGAATGTTCACTACAGAACCTTCGGACCAATGAACCCTTGATTAAAAAACCTATGAAAATGTTACCGTTTTTCGGACCAATGAACCTTCGGACCAATGAACCTTCGGACTATCGAGACGCCCCCCCCCCATGACAGTTAAAATTCACACAATGAAAATGCCAGTTGAGAAAAAATGAAAATTCAAGAAAAATTAATTTTATTTTATTAAAATGATCCCATCAAGCTGGTTTCTCAAGAGGAGCTGAATGTCAGTCCTCGTAATTTACAAAATATTAAGTAACACGGACTTCTTTTCATAGCGTTTGAAGTGGCAGTGTACGAATTTTATTGTGTAAATTTTGATGCAATATAAAAGTGATTAACAGCATAATCACCACCGAATTTTAAATGACTACTATACGTTACATGGGCATTACTAACAGAAGGCTTCATGACCGTTAAGTACCACATTGAAAATGCCAATAGCACGTGAAAAATGAAGATTTCACAAAAAGACTGCATAACTTACTGAATAAGAATAGAATCAGACTGGTTTTCCAACTCGAGCTGAAGTGCAGTCATACCAGTCTCTTCTGTTAGTTTAAGAATCATTAGTAACATGCTTTTCACTTAAAAGTTAACATGGTGGCAGTGCCTGAAATGGGTTTACATCAATTTCTATGCAATCTTTACAGCATAATCTCACCAATTTGTAATGTAAGTATCATGGGTATTTAGAAAATGTTACTAGCAAAAGTTCTCAAGCCCATGTAAGTTCAAAGTTACACCTTCAAAATCCCTACATGTGAAAAATAACCATTTCACAAACAAACACAAAATCAGTAAGAGTAACTTTTGGAAAAATGGTCTGACCAAACTGATTCTCAAACTCTACCTGTATTTATTTCGATAAGTTTGCAGACAAACGGTAAAGTGGTTTTCCACTTATCATGTTATCTCATAATGTACACTGTTGATGGCGATGACAGACACAAGGGCTGGCCATACATATACACACACAACTATTTGTACATGAAAATGCCTAGGGGCGGACACAGTGTCAAACAAGAGAATACCAAGTTTGCATTTATGTTTTATTTATTTTTTGCTATTTCAACGACACCTGACCCAATCATGACCATGACAATGATATCACAACCTGATACTGACTATTAGTGGCATCTGAACTGACAACTTCATCACCTTCCTTCTTAACATGACAATCTAGTTTTTAAAACTAATATTTAAAAAAGCCAATGAACGATCTAAAACCAGTTTTCCTGCAGTTGGCCCATGATTTGGAATGGAAATTAACATGCATTTATTACTTTTTTAATTGGCAAAGTATAGGTCAGTATAAGGCAGAATCAAAATTCACAACTCAAAAGGGATGAAAAATGCTCTGGATGTATAGCCCTTCGTTTAAAAACATTTAATACAACACACATCCGACCAGAATGGCCACTGTAATACACCTTTATACCAATATATGCCTATGGGCACCGAATTGTTGATTGAGCAAAGCCCTATTATATTATATTATATCACATGCAGCACGTCTTTAACCCACAATTCCTTAAAATATTGCAAAGGTTTCATCCTCGAGAATAAAAACAAATCCACTGCAAATTCTGTCATTATATCAATTGACAAGAACACCACTAGACTGTATATACAGAGCACTGCGAAACTTTACAGTAAAAATCTGTAAATACATCAAATGTATCTCACGTTTATCTATCCAAAATCTCAACATCAACATTAAGCAATTTTCCTAATGTGAAAAGGGCCTCATGGATTTAAAACTAATTAATGAAAGTGTTAAACAAATATCAGGCTGATATTAAGATAAATGCTCTTAATTCATTTACATGTATGTTAATGTAAACACCAGAAGAGAGAGAATTTTACTATTGAAACAAAGGCTGTATTCCCAGAGCTTTTAGATCAATCTATCCCCGCGGGGAGTCTCACTAGATTACTGTCAGATAATCCGGCTTAAATGTCCGTCCCGCCTACTACAAGCTGTAAGGGGGTAATTAACTTTCGTGTCCGCTCGGCTGACAGTTATTTAGCATGAACCCCCAGGGAGTTAGGTCTATCTAAAGTAGATCGATCTAATCTCTGGAAATGGGGTCAAAGTGTCATAAGCAGTGAATAAAGTAAAATTGAATAGTTTATTGTGAGGCATGACACCCATCAATATGTAAAAAAAAAAAAAAAAAAAAATTGTGTGACCAACTTGAATAAAAACGCTTCTGACAAAATTATCAGACTTACATATCATGGTACAATCGAGGACTTATGGCATACTATAAAACAATCATAGTCAATCTATCTTAAACTCTTCCTGTAATATCCTTTTTTAAAAAATTAAATAAGACCATCTCCTTGGAACAGTTGCAAATGAACACTTTTATAGTCAGAATGCGCTCACAAATTTAAGTCAAGGAAGTGAAGGTCCACAAAAGTCAGCCATTTTGGATTTGGCTGTATACACATTTGGAACATCTTTTAGTGAATAAAAAGGCTCATCTCATGGCAAGACATAAAATTACATCCCCATCACATCAGTTTTATTTCATGCTATTACCCTTAATATTTAGTAACATTAAAATATCTAGAGATATTCTACAAATTCAGCAGTCCTTTTTTTCTGTTTCAATTCCAAATTTTCATCTCCAGTACTTGAGTTGTCCTTTGAGCATTATTATAACACTTACCACAAGTTTATCAATTTACATATTATACTTGATATATAAAAATGCAGCACCTCAAATATTATATCACACATTCACATGGAACAATTAACTAGTCATAATTTTAACATAATTCTCAGCTGCCACCATTGGGCAGATATCAATCAAGTCCAGGCACCTTATGATGCAATATTCAACCATATGCTGCCACCTATTGACAAAATCTAAAATAAACTCTGATTGTTCAATCAAATTTTTCCCATGCTGGTTTCTCCTGCTGAGCACTTTTGGTAGCTGATGCACTCTTGATGTCTAACAAGTCTGCAAATGGATCCTTTTCCAGTTTTTCTCCAGGTTTCTGTGGCTGGAGCACAGTGCTACTGAAACTACTGTGCCCCAAGCTACTACTGCTACTACTGTATGGCCTCGGTCCATCTACTCCTACCACAGAGTAAGGCCTTTGAATTCCCCCTGTTGCACTGCCAGTATTCAATCCTCTATAAGGCTGAGGGGCATAAACAAATGTTTTTCTATTGCCCGCTGTGGAGAAATCCTTTCCAAATGCTGATGATGAGGCTCCTGATGTCATAGGTCTGGTCTGGCGTGGAGCACCTTGGCCTGGAGAATACCCCATATTAGAATAATTATGCATCATAGACGAAGCAAAGGGAGTTTGACTTGACAGAGGGACAGGTTGCCTCATGCTGTACGGTAACCCAACCTGCTGCTGCTGGCTTAGGGCCAAACTACCAACTGAAGACATAGCAGGCCCAGCATGCATTGTACCAATGGCTGAACTTCCTGTTACATTACCACTAAGGTTAGTGTGATACCCAGCATGCATTGCACCAACCTGGATACTACTACTTCCTGTCTGCCCACCAATGTTAGTTTTATTACCAGCATGCATGGGAGTGGGCCCCATATAATTTATGCTACCCCAAGATGAGGACGAACCTGGTAATACTGGCGTATTAAAAGCAGTCTGAGGACCAAAAGCACTGCTGGTTGAGGATGGCATGGCCTGGAAGTTGAAACTTGTACTGGTGGCACTGGTATTCTGGAATAGATCTTGGTCAGCATTAGGACTTGGTGTGGGACTGAGGCTGGGGGCTGGGCTGGGCTGTAATGTAAGGGTCCCCATGGTCGCTGGAACTGGCTGACCTTGAAGCTGTTGGTCGAGACTGGACTTGGTATCAAGCTGAGTAGACAACACAGGAAAAGCAGAAGCCTGCTGCTGGGGTTGTTGAAGCAAATTAGGAGCAGAATGGACATTAGGAAGGCCTGGCTTATTACCTGCTTTATCAAAATTCAGGTTCCATTCTTTAAGTAGGTTCGTGTCGTCTTCTGTCAGCTTTGTGCTAACTCTGGTACCTTGACCTTCAACCTCACTTTGAGTCTGACCTTGACCTTGATTGGCACTACTCTGTGGAAGCTCTGAGGGCCCCCCTACTGGACTGAACTGGTTGGCTAGTAAGGGATCAAATAAATCATGAACGTTCACTGTCACCGGTTTTTGTGCTGTGGAACCTTGCACATGCCCTGGACTAGTAGGATCATCGCTGTCACTTCTGCTAACACTCCGAGGCTTTTCGTAGAGAGATTTCCTGAAAGCAGGTGCCCTATTCAGGTTGATTTTGGTGTCCTTCGGATAGGCTGGTTTCAGACTGATCTTCTGAGCCTGATAATCATCTAAATCACTGTCACTTGTGTCAGCATGTCGCAAGCCATCAAATCTTTTTGAGAGTTCGTCAGGGAGTGGACTCGTCTGTTGTAAGCGTTCGTGATCATCAACATTCAAAGCAGGTCCAGCCTGGCTTGAATTAATTTCACCTTCAACAGATTCTAGTTTAATTAAGTTAAAGTCCACTGATTTGTCCCCATCACCTTGTTGAGCTCGTGATAAGCTGGGACTACTGTCACATGATACATTACTGCTATTGGTTCCCTCGTCTTTCTTTTTCCGTCTCCTTCGTGGTGCTGGTATGGGAGTGGTCTCAGCTGATCCTGTCTCTTCAGGAGTCCGCTTCTTTTTGGTAAGTTCCACAGACCTCTGCAATGCAAGGACCAATATGTAGTAAGAATCATTCCTGTTTTTTTTTTCAAAAAAAAAAAAAAAAAAAAAAAAAAAAAAAAAAAAATTATCTAAATGAATATATATAAAAACAAACAAATGCATTTAATTTTTTTTTTTCTGAACCACATAATTATGTCAACTAACACTGCATTTCAATAAGTGAGACAACCCACAGGTAAGTGTGGTTTTACCAATCCCTTTGAATTTTGACACGAATGTAAATATTTCATAAAAGTTCATAAGACAGTTTATATATATCACAACACAACCCTCAAGCAAAAAGCTTCGCTCCACTCAATACAATAACCTTTGATGGGATATAAATGCAAAAAACCAAATCGGCTATCCAATAATAAGCACAATGGGTCACAATTGCTTTCCATGGGCATGAATGTTTGGGTTGGCTTTCAATATGAAACATGTAAGTGGCATCCCTCAAAGATGCTACGATAACAAAGTTCGGTGAAATACCTTGTTTCTTGTCTCTTGTATAAAGATAGCAAAATAGTCCATCTTTTTTCATAATGTCAAGGCATAATTTTTCAATACTTTAACAAAAGGCCTTGATCATGTGACTGGTCAAACAGGGCTGAAAGGTCATGTCTCACAAGTAAAAATGTTTTGTCTTTATTATAATAGTAAGATTTACAATTTACCAATAACAATGAAACAAGGCAATTATTACATTCTTATCATTGAGAACAAATGGAAAGCTGCACAGAGTGGTACACATCACACGAAATCTCACAATGAAAGCAAATTCAAAGCATCAAAATGAAAGTTTTGGTCAATCCAGTTGTTTTAAACTTAGGTAAAGATGGAATTTATTCATTGGAGGTAAAGCATGTCAGATGACATCTCTGACAGCAAAACTTCATTTAACTTGAAGAAGGTGATAAGGCAAAAATATGTTAGTCCAAGAATATGGTGCAGAAAAAGGGTGAATTATGCATTTTTACCTACAAGCATGAAATTTGGCACAGTTGTAGAGGATTGATTTTAAAGCTATTTTAGATATATGGGCATGTCCAAAAATTCCAATATGGCTGCCAAATCCAATATGTCTGCCACAAATACTTCCTCAAATAAAAATTTCCAGTATATAGTCTTATAATGGTTTAAATATCATTTTATGGTTAAAAAATACCATGCTATAAATGAATCATCAATTTCAATATCTGCCTCTTTATGTTAACTGCCATTTTAAATGTAAGCTCTAGTGTGAGATTCATTGTTAATTCCATCTTTATCCCAAATTCTGAGAAGTGCAGTTACAAAGAAGCATGCCTAGTACAGGAACCATCACCCACCACTACCTCATCCTCGGAGGAATCGGTCAGCAAGTCCTCCATACTGAGTGACCGCTGCAGGACGTTCTCAATGTCTGGGTCCTGAAGAAGGTCAAGGCTGATCCTCTTTGGGTCGTCTGGAAGAACCGAGTCATCTGCCACCTGGTCGAGGGTTAGAACTCGATACTGCTTGGCCCTGGAGAAGGGCAGAGGAAGAAAAAATATTATTTAAAAAGACACTTATGTGGCACCAAGTTATTAAATGTATTGAAAATGCCCAAACAAAGTAAGAACTTCCACCTTTATAAAGACATTATATGTCAATTGTTAAGTTCCCCACTTAAATGTAAAGAGTCATTCAAGATGCAATATAACATGAGTTTCCCATCTTTTGCATGCAGAAACAATTTGACCCAGACTAAAAGAAAATGCTGCTGAAATGAAAAAGGGCAGCTTTTTAATGATTCGCACAAAATTACTGGATGCTGAAAGAGAGAAGAGACAACTTTAGGCATTTCACTTAAGAATCCTGCACCAAGGAAACAAAATAAAATCATGATGAACAGAATGTGTTGTTACCATATTTCCTAAATAAAACATATTGATAACAACTAGACTTACCCTAGTACTTAGAATGAATTACAATCAAATTTAGTTGAGAATCCCACACCTCAACTTTTTGAGAAAATAAATTATTCTAATGCCAGTTTCAAAAATCAAAATGAACTAAAACAGGGACCCATATTTAAAATACCTTATCAACAAAATGATAAGAGTGATAGAAAAAAATTCCAAGAAAACGCAAACTATGTTTGTATTTATGAGACAGAACATCCCTAAGACCACTTAAAAACAGACTTTGCTAAAAAAAGGAAAAGTATGTTCAACTTATAAATCAATGACTTTCTTTACATAAAAACCAATACTCAACAGTTGCTACAACAACCACTAATTTTACCAGTCTTTATTCAATTTAAAAAGGAGCTCCAGTGACAAAACTATATCTAGTGCTGAGTTAAGTCACCTTACCTAAATAACAACCATATAAAGTCTTAAAGTTAATACGTTTTATAGTGCTTTGACCAGTGAAAAAATCCCTGTTCATGGCACTTCACATTAGTGCTTAATATGTTAGAACAGTGCACTTTTTAAAATTTAAAATCAAGATTGCAACAAGCTGTCTACTTAATATAAATGATGAATATGATCCTGAGTTTAAGATATTGACCACCTGACATTTTCTGATTAAGTGTGGCTGGGTGTCTGTGTTACAATGTAATTAATACAATATCATGCAAACATGATATTAAACATGCGCGTTATTTTATGGTAACGCAAAGGCAAGCATGAAGATGTCAATTGTCATTTGATTTCCCAACAAAAAGGACAAAAAAATACCAGAAATGAAAAAAAATTAAATGAATAAATATTTATCAATGAAAATTCAAAGCTTGTTACTTGTGAAATTAAATCAAAGTTCATAGTTACAATTTCTATCAGAAGTTACAGCAAAGCTATCATAGAATTGTCAATTGAATTATTTATGATGCTGTCAAACTGATTCCGACTTCCAAAGTAACCGAGAGTGCCTAATTAGTAGGTCCTTCAATTAGTCACGATTGTAGACAAATAAATCACATTTTAGCACTAGGCACCCTGTAAAATACATTCATTCCCACAAATAAAATAATAAATTGAGTAAATAAGGTCATCCATGTGACATCAACAACAAGGTAAGTTCATTCATCTACTTATAACTATAAAACCCCACTTTCTCTTTTTATACATGTTTTTGCTTTAAATTAATTAGAAATTGAAGCAACAAGAAAAGAGATTTTTTAAAATAAACATTCTAAAAGTGGTTGCTTTGTAAGCAAAAAGGAAAATAATAAAATAAATAAAAGAAAATATTTTTTATATAAACTGAATGAATACACTACAGGGTGCCGTAAGACGTTCAAGCAAATAAATTAAATCATGTCCCAAATCAGTAATGAATTTTTAATAAATATATGTACCGCACCAAAAGTTGCATTTTGCGTTATCACCTGAGAAAGCGCAATCCTTTGTATCGCTGTGATGAGAGCAAATCAAGGTGCACATGATCTGATGAGTCATCATCGCTGTCTGACATTTGGAACGAAACAGGACTGGAAGGAAGGATAGACGCAGAGCGGGAAGGAAGTTAGACAAACGACAAACAACAATGCCAAACCATTAGAACAAAACACACTAAAATATTTGCTGCCTACAGAATTATATTAAGATTTCTTTATTCCTTTCTATTCGTTATTCCGGTACTAAATGCTACAGTTACTCAATCATTCAATTACTTTGCTTCATAGAGTACTCAACAACATTGAATCCAAAAAATCGTTTATATTAAATGTGTCATATAAATATGTCTGATAAATCAATAAATATTAGCCAGGTATTGGTTAATTTGAATCTAAAAAGTTTCTCACAGAATCCCCATACTAAAAAAAATTCTGCTGGAATTGTTTTCAATTTTTCAAACTGAATTGAAGACAAACTTTCACTTTTTTTTTTACATATTTGGCAAATGATTTGACAATATACCGTCCTACGTAGGTTATACATCAAGAGTTTTCACAAAAAAAGCAACATTCAGCACAGAACATCTACTTTAGGAAAAGAGGGGAAAAAAGCATTCCAGTTTTTGACTCCATATCATTAACTACTTCCTTATGCACAAAATAAAATCCCCACAAGACAAGAGGCATTTATCCAAGAAACATACCTGTGGTGAAATGCTTTTAAGTTTATTGATTTTTTTATTTAAACAATTTTAATCATATCATTTTAGTAATTACATTTCTAATCTATAAGAGAGAACAAATCATTGTCATTATAGGTAAATATTATTATTATAATTATAGTAATAAGATTCAAGCCAAGTCTTAATATTGCAAGGTTAAATAGGAAATATGCCGCTGACAGTACAGAAAAAAGTTAAGACTCAGTATCCAGGCAAAACATTTATCTTGATCTTAGGAATAACAGAGGGAAACCCAATCAATCAATTAATCATTGCCAATCAATAAAGAAACCAATCTTTGACTCCTTGATTGTTTGCTGCAAGATGTAGCTCTGGTAGCTAAATTGATGGAAGTATGGATATGAAAAAAGCACGTCAGGCAAGGGCACAGAAGCATCGCAATTGCAAACATTCGTAAATAGGATTAATTGCATTCAATTATGCTTTGCTGAATATGAAGCAGTTAACTAACAATATAATATTATATAACTGGAATTCCATAATCTAATCATCAGAGATTGCCATTCGATATTGTCATCTTTGAAAAAGCAAATGTGGCAAATGCTCAAGCATCAGTAATAGCTAAGAAGTCCTCAAGCTTCAATTTCAAACCAATCACCTTTAATGCTAATCCACAACAGAAATATCCTGCTGATTAGTCAAAGGATTTTGAAGGACAATGTCTAGTTTTTGAAGAACAAGGTGAACTCAAAGGAGAACAATATTTCAAAATTTGTGAAGAATGTCACTCTTACATGTGCTTTTATTGTTTTTGTCAAAGTAAATTGGTATGTAAACATATAATTTGTTGTCACAGCCATAGCCCATTAAAAAATCATTCAATCTTCATTTAAAATGCACTGTGAATATTTTTAAAGAACTTTCACATTTAACAATATGAAAGCATTTTTCTCACTCATAAAAATTAAAATTGTGTCGCCTATTTTTCAAATTACTAGACATTGCCTGCATTTCAAATTTGATTATCTTGACCTACTTTTCATAGCTTGATCTCCGTCGTAATGCTGTTCTACCGGAGAGAGGCTTGGACAGCATGTTATCTGACAAGCTGGGGGGTGGGGGTCTTGGAGGCTAAAGAATCAATCAAACAGATATTATCAAGGTATCGACTTAGACTTTTAATTTTAATTTAATTTAATTTTAATTTAATTAGTTTAATTTTAATTAAAACACAGATTTAAAAATTGGAAGTTTTAACAGAAAATAAAAAGCTTAAAGCTGTCACTTTAATTTATTGTATTCTTCACTTTTTAATGCTTTATAATCATTTTTTAATCATATGCTTTATGGTATAACTGTCATTTCACGACAAACAATGCACAATATATCACAGTGACAAATATAGCTGCACCAAAATCAGTTTCTGATGATGGCTGTCAACTTGACAGACTCTCAGACTCTACTTACCCTTTCTGTTCTTAATTCAGTGGATGGTATTATTGCTGGCTTGGTCTGGGTGTCATCCTACAGGAAGAATATACTATGCATCTATCATATGACAGACAGACAGATGGACAGAACTGGGAGAGGGCTCAAAAGGACTTGGAGCTTCATGTAACTTGTTAACTAACAATTATTTTGCTGGAAAAATACTATTTTCAATTACTAATATTACCTTACCTTTCAAAAATACATCATTAAAAAGGTTCCTACACATCCATGTGCAGAGTCTTGTTATTTTTACATAATTCTTAAAAACTTTGAAAATTCAATGTAATACAACTTGCAATATTCAAAATACACTACCTTTCTGAAGTCTTCTATCCTGTTCCTAAGATCCTTGTAGGCCTTTTTGCTTTGAACCTTCACCTGTTGAATGTATAAAATACTGTTACTGGATGTTAACATGAAATATTTACTGTACTAGTAAGCAATAAGTTTCAAGAAACAATTATTAATATCATAGGGTTTATAACTGTAACAGTATAAAAAACACACAGCCTTTATGTGCAATCTTATTTATGCAGCATCAGTCTTATTTTTTTCTCTTTTCATAAATATTCCAAGTAATAAAAGTGAATCCAAACATGTCTTTAAATGATGTTAAATATAGTAACTGGAACCTGTGATTTACCATTAGTACCATTTTATAAATATGTTCGGAAAATAAGATTCAGACAAGACTTCTGAAACTGTGAATAAATTGGTACTCCCTTTGACACATAGAACCATCACCAGTAATATCAAAGACTGGTTACGCAGCAGATTACTGGCAGTTAAAATCATATAATATTGAATAATTATATATATTACTTTAACCCTCGACATAGATTATAACCACTAATTGGCTAGTCTACTGGTCTGTATGTAATAATAATATAGAACCTATAATCATAAAATTCTACTATCTCAGACATGCTGAAACTGTCAGTTCAATTGGTCATGACTGACAAAAATTTCAAAGACAGGTTCCAAGGGACCTGCAATTATTTCAAGAGTGGACATTTATAATTAACGGAAAATTAGATTTTAAGTCTAGTTTGGCAAATTTTTCACAACTGCCGGAACAAATGTCTGACAGTTTTGAAATGTTAAAAGTTTTCAACATGTCTATTGCTTTCTATGACTGGTTTCTACAGCAGCAAAACTATGTGAACTAAATTCGGCCAAGCTTGTGGTCAACATTTTACAATACAGTCTGCCCAAATGACCAACCAGTCCAAGACAATTACGTATCTACTATATTTGACGGGGTCTACTATAAAATCAAACTTTTTCTAGTACATTTTAGTGGTTCTTTCAAAGTTTTCTTTCAATTCAGTCTTCCATGTGAAGTAATGTAAAATAAGTAAATCATTAAAAATTTAAATTATCTATACATTTTATCTCCAGTTTATTAATTATTTTGATTTAGACTTTTTAGTTGTAAACCGAGATCAACTTGTCCAAACATAGCCCTAGACTGAGAAGTTAAAGGTGCAGACCAATAAGGCAACGAACATATAATCAAATTATGTCCTAAAACTGTATTTAGCAGTGTTAAACAGCAGGTGAGGAAACACTAGAGCAGTTGCAATAACATAAGCAGTATGATGTCTTTGAATGAGATCTCAGAGTCAATCTGAAGCAATTATTATCACTGTAACATGCAGTGCTGATCCATAAGTCTCAGTGACTTTCTCTGGTGTAATAAAGCAATCAATTCAAACCTGATTGCTATTAGTGCTAAATACCATCAATTCCATGTAAAATTATCGATGGCATTTTACCCATTCGCCTCTTCTTAATTATATGATATCAATTGGATCTCTCTCTGACTAATTCATATAAAAATCAACCTTGTATCCAACAATCAAGCTATCATGCATTTCTTATAACATTGTTTTTCCATAACAAAGGGATTTTTTTATTTACTCACATCTAAATTTTGATGTCAGTCAAAATCATTAGCATATATTAGTGAATAAAAGCATGTCTGAACCAACACCACATTTTTGCAACTTTTTAAAGAAATCATAGCACACCTTTACCACAGTAAATATAATTATTATACCACAACATATACTGATGACTTTTTATGTACCACATTATATAAGTTTCTCATACCACAGCATAAATATAGCTGTTATAAAACATGCAGTATAATAAGTCCTTATACCACAGTATATAGAGTTCTTATACCATAGTACTCATAGATATTATAAAACAAGCAGTATAATGAGTTCTTATACCACAGTATATAGAGTTCTTATACCACAGTATATATACAGTGAAAGCAAGCTGCGACACTTACACTGCTGAAAGCATTTCTGACCAGAGGATTAGCCTGAAGGAATACAGTCAAGGTGATCACAGAAAAAGAGGACAAATGCATCATTTACACACTGAAGGCTTGTCAGATGACCACTCATATTTTGTTGACAAGTGGACTGTTTATTAATTTCCAAAAGAAATGGTAAATTTGACTGAATGTTTAAGAAATTTCAATACACACTTATTGTGCATAAATAGTGTTGACTTCAGTATTTTGGAAAATTAGAAAAAGGTCAGAGGTAATCAAGCTTTACTTTCAAATTAGGAATAGACAGACAGAGAAAGCTATTTTTGGAGAAAATACAAATCAGAAGTCGGAGTCAATTGGTCATCTTGAATACAAGAAAGCTCAAAAATTGAAAATTAGAAAAACGACATCAACAAGGCTTGACATACATTATTCAAAGGTTTTAACAAAAAGCTCATTCACATGCTACAGTATAAGCAACAATTAATTGTAAAATAAACAAAGCATACTAAAGAACCTTAAAAGTTTTACCTTGCTAGTAAAAACTGTCCACCTGTCCTTGCCTTCTCGTTTTATTTTCTTCCCTTGTTTCTATAAAATAAATTTAATTTCATAAACAATCACATTCAAATTGATATACTATACACAAATGAAAAAGAAACAAAATGATTTTAATTAATTTTAAAAAACAATATTTCAGTTTTTCCAAGATTTTTTAAGTTTAAATTTGGATTTTACATCAGCAGAAGTTGTCATTTCTTCAAATTATAGAGAAAGAGAGCGACTAAATTTTCTCTCCCACAACAAAAATACTTTTTCCTCAAGTTACTACATTAATGATAAATTTTATTTTAGTACAAAAGTCCAGACCTTGATTTGGTCAAAACTGAACTCATTAGTGATATAAAGCCCATACCTTCATATTTCCCAGCCATTCTTTGTACCTATGTAAAGAACTGGCAGCATTTCTGTCTGCCCACATATTGGTCTCCTGTTCAAACTCATCGCTGAATCCTTCTCCGCCATTCAGCAAATCCAGCCTCTCATTGATAAACTGGAATAAAAAATTGCATTTACAACTTTGAGTTATTGTGTCAAAGATGAACCCTATTTTCTTACACAGTAACCTTAATGAGTTAAAACTGTTTCAACTTGGCACCAAAATGGTCCTAAATTTGTACACCTTACAGCAGTATAACCCCTGTGACCAAGTAATTTTTTCTTGGTACAGCAATCACAAGGCCTAAATGTGGCAAGTGACAATTATGTTAAATGCAAAATAATTTAATGTTGAAAAAATAGGAGAATATCAAATAATACAACCAATGTCATATCAAATCCTTACCTGCTGGAAAATCTGAAGCTGAAGCATTTTTTCCAGGAATGGCTGCATGCTTTGAGACCTTGACTGGACAAAAGCATCTGGGTCAAAGGTTATCTGCTCGCCCTGCCTAAACTTCAGGGCGTCTCTGTAATTACCTGAGAGGGTAAAACATAATACATTATACACTGACAAAAATCTATGTTACTTTTCACCATCAACAGTATTAACTCCAGCTGTGTGCACTCAAAGATTATCTGGATTGTGACAGTGTCACAATTGAATTTGGGGAATCCCAAGAGAAAGTACATGCAAGGTACAAAATGCTTTCCTTTCACAAAATAAACACACCATTGGGTTAAGGATTTGAGATTTTTGAGATAATCTATTATTATTAACTATCAAAGTTGTAGATGATATTTGACCTGTTTAACAAAAGAACATCAAAAATGGGTGTAAAATTTTAGAACAAATTTCAATCTCAAATTGGTTATAGTAATATTAAATGAAATATGTGCCCGTTTTATATCGAGAAAAACATCTAATGTTACAGCCCTAGGATCACTTTATTCCGGGGGACTTAAGTAATTACAGATTGCACTTGAACTAAAGTAGGCCAAATGTTTGCTTAAAATATTTTGGCTAAAGTTTATTTGTAAACCTAGCTCCTGGTACTTACCTATTAGTCCTACTAAAGCCTTGAGGAATGCCCTGGCCACTCCGTCACCTGTGATCATATGGTTCTTGAGTTTGTCAGCCTGCTGACTTCGTAATCTCTTCTTCAGGGAGGATACCTGGAAAATAAGTTTCAGAAGAATTTATTTGCAAAGAATGATTATGCCTTACACATTAATGCTAACATATTGTCAGCTGTTATTAGAAATGTACAATTACATTTTTCTTACTGCAAACATATCTTGAGTATCTTTATGTGATCTTTCAAAAAAAAAAAAAAAAAAAAAAAAAGTATCAGAATTTCTTCCAAATACTATGAGAAACTTTGCATAATTCTCATATCTTTCCTTATTATAACACCCTATAAATTAAAAATTAACTGAAAATTATATTTGAAAAAAAAAAAAAAAAAAAGGAAATTATGAACACACACACACACACACACACGCACACACACACACGGTATTATTTACAATTTCAGGTGGCAGTGTGGCGATGTCATCATGTTCTGTCTCTATGGTATTCTTGTCAGCGTCCAGCACTACCGCATCTCCGAGCTCCATCTTACGGGCTTTCTGTAAACACGAAACAAAATCATTTCATTTGAAATCAGTACCTCTAAAAACAATATGACTTTTACGTTGAAACTCAAATCAAAATGATGATAATGGCATCTTATATGTAATAAATGAAGTCACAGAGAGAGATTCAAAAGATTCCTTCTTTTTTAAGTAAAACTATTTCATAACACTCAGCTCATAACTTTTTTCACTTATGGATTGGAAACATAAGTGATGAATAACAAAAGTCTTTCACAAGAACAGAAAGAAAGGCAGTCAGATAAAAGTGTTAGAATGATTTCACCTACCTCCATCAGAGAAGCATGGATTCCTATTAAATATGGCATGGGAGCACTGTAGAGAAAAAAACAGGAAAAATAGTATAAAATGTTAATATTTAATGTACATTGGCAAACAACAACATACTGAGGTTATGGATAGATATTAAATATTCCAGCATGTATTTCAATAGTCATGAATAACTTGGTTCAATTTTATAAACTATTGTAAACTTCCTACTACAACAGCAGCCTTGTTTTGGTTGACATTTAAATGGTTGAATTAGAACTTGTTTCAGGTATATGAGATTATCTAGTACAGTAAAATCATATGTTACCTGACATAGTCCAACAAATGCTCAGGTAATACTGGAATGTAGAGGTGTTGCCTACAAGTAAACAAGACCTTTTTATTGAAGACAAAATAATTACAATTGTGTGTAGAAGTATCAGATGCATTACTTCTTATCGTTATCATTTTGATGAGCATGTCACATTATTAATCTATGGTGAGAAGATATAGTTAATTTCCTAAGCACTATGACTAGCGGGGAATACCCAACCATATGCATCTCTTCCCCTCTCCCCTCCTGATCTGTAGTAAACAATATCCTGACAATAAGATTATCTTTAATTACAAAAATTATTACTGTAACCGTGATAGTAATAATTATTATTATCATTATAATTCTCAGTCAATATCTAAATGTACATTGAATGTAAATTATAATAATAATTATCACTATTATCATTATAATTTTCAGTTCTTTCAGAAACTGATGAAAAGTTTGTGTATTGTATATGGTCATATACAGTGTTAGAAATTAAGGCTGGACCATCTGCTCGGGGCTGACAACTTTCAGAACGGGCTGAGAAGTTTTCCCACCCGGCAGACATTCAGTCCAGCTACTTTTCAAGATGGCTGGACTTTCGGTCCAGCAACTTATTTTCCTAAGAGGCAAACACTGGTCATATACAACCACATGATACTGAAATATCTGAAAATAATACAAGACATCAGCCCTGTTCTCATAGTCTTAACTTACCAGTGCATTGGATAAATAAGTGAAGCACACCCGTGCACACAGGCCGTCAGACGGCTTAGCTTATTGGACGTTATCAGAATTCTTCTTTCGTAAAGCATACTGAAAAACAACAAAATATATCAGAAAAAGACATGCTGAAACTGTTGGTTCTATGGGTCATGACAAATAACATTACAGGAACTGTTAGAAAATTGCGTTCAGCACTCCAAAGAAGCAGCAATAATTTTAAAGGTACATACAAACCGAGCATCAGTGGAGCGTGGATTCCCAGTAACACATGTAAACCACTTCTACTAGACTCTTATATGACTCAAATAAATTCGACATGCCAAGGGAAAAACTGAATAGATCACTCGATTAGCCATAAAAGACCTTTAGACTGCTCCTTTCTTTAAATTTTTGGTTGTAAATTTAACCCACTTTTGTGACCTACTTTCCTGCCCCATTGACATACAGCTTAGAATGCTAGCAGAAAAATCCCTTCAAACATCATTAAGGGTAAAATTAAACAATGCCTTTTGGTAATTCTCTTAGTTATACTACTTGAAACTATATGCTGGCATTTGGTTGGTTTTTGTGACAAAAAATTGACTTTGTATGCATCTTTAAGAGATGCCATTTTGGATTTACAATCCGTCCCATAAAAATACTTTGGTTTGGCCAATTTTTCACAACTGCCAGTTGTTTTTAGTTTGAAAAGTTTTCTGTTTGTCTGTTAAAATCATGAATCAGCTCATAATACCGTAAATATTAAGTTAAGAGATCAATATGACAAAACCTTTATGAAAAGTAAGAAAAAAATAATCATCGAGAGAGCCTTCTTACTTGGCAAATATAACCATCATATTTGTAGGATCCACTGCATTGTAATATTCTGTAAGATTCCTCTGAAAACAAACAAAAGCAATCAATGTAAGTAATCATTTAAAAAAAAAGTTTTTTTTTAAATTACTTTATTTGTTACAATGAAAGGTATTCTATAAGAACTGAGGATGTCTATATTTATACGTTTAACCCCAACAACAAAAAGGCCTAGATATTACAATAAAGTTTACCTCTTTCAAACAATAAAAAATAAAATAAAAAATAGAAATAAAAACTTACATTTTGGGGAATAGTTGGCAACCGGTTGATGTTAGGACTTTCGAAAATAAACTCCTGAAATGAAAAATGAATATCAACAAGCTAAGCACACAATCATATCACTTTTATTTTTATTCATCAAAAACATTATAACCTATGCCTGTCTAATATCACTTATGTGCAGTAAACACATCCTGACGAAAAGGATTTTTCAAAAATAAGTACAGTAATAACAATGTTTTTATCATTATAATTCTCAGTAACTATCTAAATATGCACTTAATATACATATTAATCATTGTTATTACCAATTCAGAAATTGATAAAAGTATGTGTATTGTATATGGTCATACATAACAATATGATACTGAAATATTTAACAAAAAATACAAGAAATCAGCATTGATCTCACAGCTGAGGGTTTCTACGAAAACAGCATTATTTTACTTCAACTGGAACTTAACTCGAGTAAAGAAATCAGGATACCATACTCACATGTTTATAGTCGTGGTCCTTTGACACAGCGATGATGCTATCCCCTGGTTTTTCAGGGGGCTGGTGCTCATGGAGAGCTTGAAGCAACGGAACAATATTGTTGTCTTGGTCCTTATTCAATATATCTGCCAGGAGGTTCAATAATTTATAGAAAATCTCATACCAGGGCAGGAAACTGTAAAAGATTACAAAAATTTTCTGATGAAAAAATTTCATGTAATATTCTTGTTTATTTCTAATTAGCTTTTATTAATGAAAATTTTGTTTATTACAACATTTTTAAAACACTACAGTATCAATACAACAAATAATACTTAAAAAGCTTCTTATATGACAGAAAAAAGAAATAATATCCACATCTGTATTCACATTAGTATATGCATTAGTATCCATGCTTGTATCTGCATTCATATCCACATTAGAAACCTACGTTTGTATCCACACTTAAGTACCAACCTTATTATACAAAGACAAGTTTGTGACCCGGCAGCGTGACGACAGAAACCAAAGCGATATTTGCTCTCGATGTCCGTGAATACAAAAGTAAAGTGATCCACCGCATGACTGAAATCAAAATGAAAATAACTTTCAAATTGTAAATATTCATTATATGTAAATCTTGTTTTTTACGAAATGTATGTGTATGATTAATTTGTTCAGGTAGTTAACACCACTGATCATTTAGATTACATAAAAGTCAGCAGTTTGCGATGTTAACAACAGTCTAATAGCAAATGCAAAAGGAAATTAAAGCTGGGACGTTAAAATTAAATATATTTCTTCAGTCACTGATCACTGTGGACTTAGGGTCAGCAGGTTTTTAGTCCCTGTTCAATGTTGTCCCAGAGCCACTGGCTATAAAGCTTGCGGCACAGACTACCTGTGCTACATACAAATATTTATGAGAAGATCAAACATAACATAAACAAAAGAATTGCATAGCCTTGGTCTCTGTTCTTAGTCGTAACTACTTCAGTAAAAGTGCCACTTAATGGACACATGACCAATATGGATACATTAGAACCTTTAGCATACTTGACTCAGTTCTCCAAAGACCTACCTTTCAAAGTTACATGGGAATGCAAACTTGGGGATAGACTGCAAGACTTCCTGTGAAATATCAGAATTGCACAATAAAGTGCACAACTTATTATTACCAGTTCAAAAATAAAACACACAAATTAAAAACAGAAAAGAAAGACAGAATCAAGCAATGCACTGCTACTTTAATGGAATCTAATTAAAGAGTCAATTTCCAGACTAACATTTTTGACTTTTAAAAATCAATTAATATAGTAATTTATGTTAGACAATTTATATAGTAAGATATGAAACACTGACCTCATCTTCATAATTTTCAGGGTAAGTCTGAAGGACGAAAGGGGCTGTAAAAAAAAGTTTTAACTATAATAACAAGTAGACTACTGACAATGGAATAACCATCAAATAGAATATTGTGTAATCTTTCAAACCTAAGCATCATTAATATATAGATTTATGTCAATTTTCCAAGGAGTTCACATGCTCAAAATGATTGCTATACTTTATCAGTCAATTCAATTAATTCAATAAATATTCGATTAACTTGCTTTTGAAGTTTGTGACAATTTTAGCATATGACAACAGTTATGTCTTAGGTGACTAAAATCTGTCTTTTGTTTCGAATGCACTGCAAGAGTTGACTTAATACATAGCATTGGAAACACAATGTCACATAAGCACTGTGCAATACAAACCTTTGCTTGATTCATTTGGTCTTGCAATTTCTGCAAAAACTTCAAATATTTTGTCAGGGTTCTCTCTAAAATGGAAAATAATGCAACAATGTGAACTGCTATTTTAAATGGAGAAGCACATGAGAAAATTTAAGCATTTTATTTCCTTATCCTTATTCTGCTATATATTGGATAGTCCATAAAAAGCTTTTAGGTCTTAAAACATATATTTAAAGGCATTAGTACACACTATTATTTAGAGAAGTACTTCCCAACTGTGAGACGGGTGTTGAGATTTTATCAATATCATGCATACTAAACCATCATCACATCACTTTCAATATCAGTATATTGGCTTCTTCTAGCGACAACGCTGCTGCGAGTTTTGGGGCAGAGTTACAGTAATGAATATTATACACGCTATTGCAGAATACATCTAAATGAGGAGCCACTGAGCAAGGCAATAACCGTTAAACTGCTCGCCTTATCTCACCACTAACTGAGTACAGTCTGAGAAAGCGGCATGAAACCTGGGCGGACGAAAAAAGGTGGAGTCCAACATTCCATGATAAATAAATTAAGAAGTGAACAATTTTTGCAAAACTAGATGGTTTCACATATTCATACGCACTACAGACTTACCTCAAACGAGAGCCCATCTTCTCAATGTGTATAGATCTTGCGCTAATTAGCCAGAGCCATCTGATTAATGACGCATCCCCATTTCCTCAGGGTTCGGCCATCTTGACTATTGACCTCTCACTCTGACGAGGTCATATCAAATCAACGCATCTTTAGCAAATATACATTTCAATACGCACTCCCTGGTATATTTTTGCCATAAAACTAATAAATAAAAGTATATATATGTTCCTTTGTCACAAATGATTATTTATTAGTACCTTGTCATGATAATAACCTTGACCTTACCGATATTTCCGTGCTTCGAATAGAAAAGAGCACACCTGTAGCAGTCGCTAGTATTTTTAGTTTACGTTTTTTCAGTGATGTTTTAAACGCGACGTTTTGGATCACTGGGCATATAGGTCTGACGCAGCAGAGGTCCCGGGGACTTGAACTGTAACTGAGTGCTACCTGCGATGTCTGTTGTCAATTCTCTCATGCAGATAAAATGCCAGAGCGCCAACAATCTAAACATTTTAAGATATTTTCACAGAAACCTTGCGCAGAGGAAAACACTTCATCTGTCAACCCAAGGTCAAACATGGACAGGTGTCTCCGGGACTCCTGCTGAGTCCAAGCAAAAATCACAAGGTCATCCTGTATTACGGACATCACAGTCAGTATGCTCTTATCACCAGCACGCTTTGCAATCCCAAGGTACGCGACCAAGCGCGTGCAAGTTCGCGGTGATTCACATGGCAATGACGGAAGAAGACTGGGACAGGATTGTCAATCCCAACCGGCTAACGGAGGTGGAGTACAGGGTGCACACGGCGCATATAGACGCTATACAGGTAAAGGATACTGAGATGATTAAAATGTGTAACAAAGTCTTAGTGTACTCTTAATTTTCAAAAAAAAAAAAAAAATGTTTGTGCTGGCGCGCAATTATATTTATTTCATTTTTAAAGATAATGGCATTTACAGCATGTTACATTAAATTCCAAGTTCAAGTTTCAATTTATAATGGATTATTTAGATCAATAATTTATGATGACGCAACTATGATTTAAGTGCACAACAAAGTTACTGGAAACTACATGTACCTGGCATGTATACCTCTATACCTACATGTACCTGGCATGTATACCTCTATACCTACATGTACAAGGCATGTATACCTCTATCAACAATTTGACATTTCCCTTAACATTTAATCTCTGTTAACTCAGGTTGCTAAAATGTGTATGTTGTTTTTATCTGTATCTATATACATATATACTGTACTGTACTGTACTGTACTGTACTGTACTGTACTGGTATGTAAGATCCAACATTCAATACAGCATGTCTGCATATTAGTTTAAAGAGTATTTGATGACCAGTGACTTAAACAGTTAATGCATAAGGAATTGCTACAATACTCCATATACAGATACCTGTAATAAATTCAATGCATGAATAGTTTATTTTAACCTTTTTATATGTACTGCATGTACGTAGTATGTTACTTGCATTAATCATATATTCACTGTTACAGTAGTTGTGTTAAACACCTTTATTTATATGTTTGCATCCCTTGAAAGTAATGACTTAACATTAACACATGCCCAGGTATGTGCATTCACATTTTAAATTAGAGTGTGTCTGAGTAATTTGCATTCCTCCATGTAGTTGCCTCCAGCGCTATGTTACCTGTTAAATGTCAGGTACTGAAATTACCCATGCAGTAGCATTTATATATAATAGGTTATTCCCTTTATTAGCCTCTGCTTGCTGCCCCTTAATATATTATATTCAAAGGTCTGCTGAGTCTGTAACAATACATGAACATGTAACAGTCTCAGAGAGAAGCTTCAGTTTTTATTTATTTATTTATTTATTTTGTAATATATTTTATGAAATTTCAATTACCAGGTATATAGTACATATACTTAATCATTAAGATATTTTGTATTTTTCTTTACATCGGAATCTTATTTGTGCAGCACATACGGTATCTCAACAATTTAACCTTAGACTTTTACAGTAGTATGCTCATGAAAGTCAAACTGACAGTCAAACATTTGGTAGAGCACTTAATGTGAGATCCTATCTTTTTCTCATTTTTTGCATACTGACCTTAAAAAACCAGAAAGGTCATAGGTGTAATTTGACCCTACTGGCTTATTACTGGACCAGGTAGTATATGTACAGTAAGTCCTGTCAGTGTACCACTAAGGGTGCATTCCCAGAGATTTAGATCGATCCAGAGATTAAGATATAGATCGACCTAACTCCTTGGGGGTTCATGCTAAATTGCAGTCGGCCAAGCGCGCACCATAGTTAATTACCCCCTTACAGCTTTTAGTAGGCGGGACAGACGCTTAAGCCGGCCAAGCTGACAGTAATCTAGTGAGACTCCCCACAGGGTTAGATCGATCTAAAATCTAAGGAAATCGGGTCTTAGTCTGCATTCACAACAATCAAATATGGTGACCCAGTTAAAAGCTTTCCTCGTAATTCCTTAATAGACACTGAATAGATTCCCTGCGGGGATTATGCAACAAGCATTCAAGTGGGTCAGCCATATTTGATCCACGGATCTGTCAGTCTGTTGTGAATGCAGCCTAAGTAATGGCATTTGGAAAGAATACAAAGCACTGAATATTGTTTTTATGCTTGTGCTGAATTTTGAAATCTTTTTATAATACCTAAATTAACATTGAAATTTAAGGACTATGAGAAATGGGGATCAATCGTACCTCAAAAGTATTGATTTCTTGATCTGAGTCTCCTTTTAAAGTACATCTACTATTATTGTCCCATGTCAGCTTTGAAGGCTTCAGGATATCTGCCAGATCCAATCTCTGATATATTGACCCAACAATTTGGCAATTATTATTTGTTTTTAATTTACATGTGCAATTTGGTCAGTCAAGCAATTGTCCAACATTCTATGATTATGTATTATTTCTTCATTCAAAACATTATCTAATATTATACATGTACCTGGATGGGATGTAGAACTATGACATGTTCACTGACTGTTAAAGACTGCACATGATTTGAAAATGTACATTAACCCAGAACAGGCATACTCCATATATATATATATATATATATATATATATATATATATATATATATATATATATATAATACACACACACACACACACAGTATGTCAAGTTATAATAATTTAGATGAATACCTATAAAGTTTTGTTTCTACTGTTAGTTTAGAAATTGCATTTTCAATATGATATTTTCCTGTCTTCAGAATGGTGACGAGATGTACACAGACCCCATAACTGGATTAATGGTGATGACCCGTCTAGCACACGTCACCAGGGGGCAGTGTTGTGGAAGGGTGTGTAGACATGTGAGTAGGTCGATGGGAAGTGACATGCAATTGCTGTGCTAAGAATAATATATATCAGGGTATAAAGAGAGAAGATTTAGTTGGTTGCCATATGTCGCTGTGAGATGGTGAATACTAGTTAAAAAATGCATCTCATTACCAGCTCCACATATGCTGGCATTCTGGTGTGTCTTTTAAAATTTGAAAAGGGGGGCAGGTTCTTTTTCTGAAAAAGGTGGACCTTTTAACTGTCTCTTGCTTGTACAATTATTTTATTACAGTAAATTTTTTTTGTTTCAGTGTCCTTACGGTCATGAGTTAGTACCAGAGCAAAGGCGAACGAAAGTGTTCAACTCTGCATTTTATATATGAGATTGTCACAGTGTGCTTGCAGACACTGTAGCGTACTAGTAGAGGCCAGCCGAGTGATCAGAAATAATATATGGAATGTTGTGGAAATTAAAATTCTCACTGGAAAAAAAGGGAGAAATATGCCATGGATAAGCCAGAGACATATCTGTGAATATATAGTGATAAATCAATCTGTGGCCCTGGTAGAGGGTGGGGTATGCTCATCCTCATTAACAAAGATTTCTGTATTATGAGCTGGTGAATTGATATATCTAAACATGCATTACTTTAAAGAAAATGTCATTTTATAGGTAAAAATTAATGAGATAAAGTTGTGATTTTTTTTTACTTCTGTAAAATATCTTTCAATTCAAATTTCTCGTTTTTGTCATATGAATCAACATGCTGCCATTCAAATTTGCAATAGTTGCTATAATTTTTATTTTTTTTTAAAATCTTGTCACAAAGTTCTCAAAATAAATGGCACACAGCATTTCTGGGTTTATATAATTCATTTTTATACTGTTATTGCAAAAGAACAACCATGTATAATTTCTGTGTTTCTCTTCTTATACAGAAGTTACAAAAAAATAATACCAATTGATATAAATAGTTTGTGAAGTATAGTTTTAGGTGATTTCATAACCCCCACCCCACCATATATTATGTTCAGATTCTTGATATTTATAACTGCTGGCTTTGCTTTTTCATTTCTACACATATATATGACATGTTTGCAATATTGTTACTTATATTTTTAAGCTTATGGCATTTTTAGACATTTTTGCTTTATTTTTAAAGTTGGTGAGAAAAATACTGTGAAATGGAGTATATTGGAGCTTTTCTGTTCTATTGCACAAATCAATACTCATTGAGCTGTATTCAGCTTTAGAAAAAACCTAAAAGTGTACTTATAAAAAAGTCTATATAATAATCAAGTTATTTCAAGTTATAAAAAGTATTGGTGAACATATTCCTGCATATTGCGCAGTAGGCAGTACTGATAAGGCAATTACATATAGTGATAGGCTAGTGAGGTTGAAGTGTGCACATGTAAATTTCCCATTGCCTCAAATTATTGTCAGTACGCGCAAAATACATTTTCTTATGTCCGTTCACCTTGTTATCAACTTCTTGTTCATCTTTAGTTATGCGGTATCATATCAGCTGAATCACTTCAGCATAATTATTTTTTTTACAAAAACTACATGCTTGGATATTTTCCCTTTTCTTGTTCATGGTTATATAAACTTAAAGAAACTAATATTATTGTCAAAATAATCAAATCCATCATTGTTGGAGATTACAAATTGGATGAAGCTCTGCATCAAATATAACACTGATGGTGCAGGCTTGTGGAAACAAAGTAACTGTTTATTCATTATAAATGTTTCCATGTATGCATATACTTGTTATAGTGGTTTTAAAACTTTATTATTTTTAATAAGGTGCTTAACTATTATGATTAATAAAAACTGTATGGTTTACATGGCTTTGTGTTTTTATGAACAGTGAAATTCAATAATAAAGAAAATAAATACAGTTATTGGTAAGAATCATTTATTCAGAAGTTTTCAGCATATTATCATTTGCTTCAGAATAACCACAGCCAAAAATGGATCATTTGTTGGGGTAAAATTAGTTAAAAAAAACTTCTGTCATAATCCTATAATTAAAAACTGAAAGGACACTTCCTCTGATTGTACCTGCAGTATGTTAGAACTGGTATTTCTCCTGCAGAGCCATTTTGTTCAAATTCACAAAAAAAGTTACATTCAATAAAAAACAAAATTTCATATATCAGGCCATTATTTAACTAAGAAAATTAAGATCTTAAAACAACTGGACCAGAATTAAATATGGCCATGAAATCTCCCATTTTAAATTTCTGGTTTCTTGTATTTACACTGAACCCAGACTCGGTACATCTTGATTTGGCGCCCCCTATTGACCTGCAATCTCCTGTCTATCACATTCTGTACCTCTTCTAAACCAGCCTCGGTGAACAATTTCCGCAAGTCGTCCTGAGTAAAGAAATAAACCAGTGTTCCATCACCCCTGACATAAAAGTTTTCCCCAAGACACTGACCCTTCTTGAAACGTAGTTGTGCCAGATCGTATCTGCCATAATCCCTGAACAATATCATTCCACCTGGTTTAAGGTGGGACACCAGACGCTGAATGGCCCCCTTCATTTTATTGGGGTGTATGGCCGACAAAACAAATATCATTATAATTATGTCGAGACTGTTTTCTGGGAATGGGAGTGGGGAAGAATCGTCTGTGAGATCATAGGTGAAAGCGTAACATCTTGATGTGTCATAATCACGATGCTCTTTCACAATGTCAATAGCAGTGCTGGAGAAGTCACAGCAATACATGAACAACTCGGGATCATTATTTGCCTGAAGTACAGGGAACACTGTGTTACCAACCCCACACCCTATTTCCAGAAATCGTTTCTTAGCACCATTTCCAGGATAATCTAGGAAAATATCGCTAGTCTGACAAGGACTTTTGAGAAAGTTTTCAGAAGCACCTCTTGTTGAATTACTTATATCATCACCTGCACGAACAGAATTACTTTCCTTTGCATGATCAACAGTTGATATCACATTTTCAGAATTTGGGTCAAGGTGAAGGTCAGACATTTGAGATTTCTCCTCTGGATGCTCAACAGTGGAGGTTCTGCTTGATTTGCTTCCACCTTCTAAATTGTCATCAACAGAGGCCTCAACATCATGGGATAGGAGATCCCTCTTGGATTTCTGCCTAGGTGTGCTGACAGTGCTGACATCTGGTGTGGGATTTGTAGTATCTGCCTGAAAATACACATTATATAGTGATATAATTATGTGTAAACTGCAACAGTACATAAATAACCACACTGAAATGCATCAAACTAGGCATAAGCTTGAGATGTTTCATATATTATGCAAGACCAAAGTAAAAAGACTACATTCCTTTACCTTCCCACATAGTTACCCCTTAAAATCATTACCTCTCCTCACCATAATGATGTAGGAAAGTAAACTAATACAGGGACATAACCAACATAAACTACACATTTCATAAGCATCAAACTTTATATTTATGATTATTAATTAATATTACATTATATAGTTTTCCAAATTAGCAAATTACAGCACTAAAGCCTTATGTGCTTTCATCCACTGAAAATGATATCTTAAAACTATGGGAAATTACCTTCACTGGCATTCCACTTGGCCACTCCTTGGGTGCCAGTTCTGGAAACTCTGTGAACAACCAATGACGATCCTTAAAAAATCTGTTTTGGTGAATGCCATAGAAACCATTCCAGTATTCATTGGCCTCTGAGTTGTACTTGACTGAAAGAAAAAAAATCAAATTATTTTCACTCATCATTGGTTTGCGCAAGAGAAAAGTGTGATGGACTGTAAGTCAGTTTGCCTCTCTTCCGCTGAGAAATCGAAAATTACTTACTAGTAGCAGTTACGAACTCTACATGATGTTAAGTTCAAATGGTAACTGTGGATTATTTTATTCATACAATTGGTGATCATTTCTGTGCAGGTTTCATATGTGGTATGTTTGACCCTAGTACATCAACCTTTTATAATTTTCCAGTCATAAGTGTAAAATATTGAAAACCTTTACTTTTAACTTCTTTATTTTCATTTGCTAGCTAATATCTTAAAAAGTACTCTTTGCGGTATAGACTTGCCTCTCCTTTCATCTTCCACCAGCTGCGCTGAATTTTCAGCAACTTTTCTTCTGGCTTCGTCCTCTTGCTCATCATCCCAGACGACATTGTCCCAGGCGTTATGCTCAAACACATTCTTTGCATCTGTAAGGAAGCGGTTGCCAAACTGGGGGCGGGGGTTCTCAGACATCTCTGTTGTGAAGAAAAAAGTTTATTCAAATCCATAAATATGACAAAATGTTTTTAAAAATTACTGTGGAAGTCATGTTAATCAACTGTAACAGCTAAGATCAGAGTAACTGTTCTATAACCAAAAAAATAATAATAAATAAAATAAATAAATAAATATATAAATAAAAAATAAATATAATAGAAAATTAAAAAACTCTGTTTAAGAAACTGGGCTATTAACACAAACTAAGACTTACTCTCTGCATGACAAAACATGGTACAGCCTCTATACATGGCCTATAATTTTATAAGGTGTCTGTCTCAAAGTACATGGGGAATTCTCTCAATTATGGTAATTACACAAATTTTAATGGGAAAAAATTTTCAACCTTTCAGAAACATAATTTAGAAATCACTAAAATTATATTTCTTCATTCTATATGGTACTTGTGGTGCTTTCATGGTATAAAATAGAATTAAAGCCTAGGGAAAGTCGCAGTGCTTTTCAATTTTGTTGCTACCACCAACAGGAATGTTGTATAGGTTAAGAATTAATGACTTAAAAAACACAGCATCAGAAACAAAATCACAATTTTCTCCATTGATAAGACTGAATCATTACTGTAAGCCCCTGAGATTTAAGCCTTATATGCTATAGGTATCCTATATTGCATCTAAAAGCGATATACAATTTACCTGTGGTAAGGTTACGTATGGCACGTAATTCGGAAACACTTGAAAGGCTGCTAGTATGAAAACTTCTATTCTGAACACAACCTAAGGGACATAAATTTTAATTTGAATATTTAAAAAATTAGCTTCTTACTCTAAACATTATTACGTTTACAGAAAGATCAGATGACTCAAATAAATCCCAATTATTAAAACAAAATTTCCTGTCACTTAAAAAACACATATTTTACTGGTACATTTCTAATGGCAAATCTGATAAATAAGATACTCAATAAATATACTAACTTAAAGACCAAGTATGAATATCAGTATATCAGTCTGTCGAGATTTTACGTACCTTATGACTTTCCACGCAAGATAACAAGAAATGGTGTCCCTTGGGGGATTTAGTCACTACTTAGAAACCAAAAACATATGTTTTCCCAACTCGACGCATATTCTCGCTTCACTTATCAACGAAGTTCAGCGAGGTCTACATGCCGGCTGCGGGGTTTTCCGATAGGTGGCAGTGCGGTGCACCGCTTAAAGACAAACTGGAGCACAGAGAACAACATTGAATGATAAACGTTAGATTTCCCTAAAATTTAATAGATTAAAATGCTCTTAAAAACTAAGAAAGATGTTTTTGAAAAAGTTACAATGGTTTATAAAATAAAGAATTAAGACAAAGACACTTAATTAATGCCTTTAAAATATCCATTTCCTTTTACAATCTTACTAGACTTCATGTGTAAATATTATGTTATATTATTGTAGTATGTTTTTGCCCTTACCCAGTCGGCGAATAGCTGTAAAGCTAATGTTTCCTTTCAATTTATACCCGACATGAAATAAAATTTATTGTATTGTGTTGTATCCATTACATTTTTCACGGTTAAAAATTGTGTCGGCGGTGAAATGTGAAATATGTAGGCCTATGTATGATCAACTGATTGTGCTAGTAGTGCAAAAAAGAAAAAATCCAACCGTACACAGAAAACTTAACATGATTGTACAACAAGGAGTACTCGGCATAACCACAGGGATGGATCCAGGATTAATTGAAGGAGGGGGGGGGGGAGGAGTCTGCGGATGCGAAGCCGACCTTACCCTCTCCACCCCCCACCCCCACCCCTTGGCGTGGGGTTCGGGGCCTGCTGAAGGGCCCCGGATTTTTTTGGTAATTTAGAAGGCGAAAGATGTCATTTGGTACGGTTTAGAACTATGATTCAGCTATTCAAAATTCTAATTGCAAGAGGGGGACCATATTGGTGTGATTTTCTTTTTTCAGAAATTGAAGGGGGAGGGGGGGGGGTCAGGATCCCCCCTAGCTGACACCCCCCTAAATCCGCCACTCCTGTTGATGTCATTTGGGGGATTTTCAAACCCATAGGTGTACCTTTAAGGTTGAAATTTTTGTAGTTGTGAATTTTTCAAACAATAACTCATTATTTGTTATCATTAATAAAAACTCTATTTAAAACCATTTGTAAAACAAAACAAAAAAAATCAAGTTATCCAAACGAATTAGTTCCATATGCTATAGGGCAAAAATCTCATGTGAATTTTTTAATTTTTTAATAACCAGGAATAACCAGAAATAAATTTTAAATATAAAATGTAAGTTGTTGGAAACCATTTAGGAAATTTTATTCCAGTGTATCCATTACATTTTTCACGGTTAAAAATTGTGTCGGCGGTGAAATGTGAAATATGTAGGCCTATGTATGATCAACTGATTGTGCTAGTAGTGCAAAAAAGAAAAAATCCAACCGTACACAGAAAACTTAACATGATTGTACAACAAGGAGTACTCGGCATAACCACAGGGATGGATCCAGGATTAATTGAAGGGGGGGGGGGGGGAGGAGTCTGCGGATGCGAAGCCGACCTTACCCTCTCCACCCCCCACCCCCACCCCTTGGCGTGGGGTTCGGGGCCTGCTGAAGGGCCCCGGATTTTTTTGGTAATTTAGAAGGCGAAAGATGTCATTTGGTACGGTTTAGAACTATGATTCAGCTATTCAAAATTCTAATTGCAAGAGGGGGACCATATTGGTGTGATTTTCTTTTTTCAGAAATTGAAGGGGGAGGGGGGGGGGTCAGGATCCCCCCTAGCTGACACCCCCCTAAATCCGCCACTCCTGTTGATGTCATTTGGGGGATTTTCAAACCCATAGGTGTACCTTTAAGGTTGAAATTTTTGTAGTTGTGAATTTTTCAAACAATAACTCATTATTTGTTATCATTAATAAAAACTCTATTTAAAACCATTTGTAAAACAAAACAAAAAAAATCAAGTTATCCAAACGAATTAGTTCCATATGCTATAGGGCAAAAATCTCATGTGAATTTTTTAATTTTTTAATAACCAGGAATAACCAGAAATAAATTTTAAATATAAAATGTAAGTTGTTGGAAACCATTTAGGAAATTTTATTCCAGTGTATCCATTACATTTTTCACGGTTAAAAATTTTAAATATAAAATGTAAGTTGTTGGAAACCATTTAGGAAATTTTATTCCAGTGCGCTAAATCAGCTTGCAGGTTTTTTTTAAAAAGAAAATACTGGTCATTTTATAACTGTTTAAGATTTAGGTACCACAGAAAACCGTCAACCACAAAAACATTGACATTATTAATAGTTCAGATTGAATTTTAAAGTCTCAAACACTAAGAATAACTCGCTTTCTATTGATTACTACTATTCTTATCATAATAATTTCATAACAAAGTGAAAAATAAAACACCAAATTTCAAAAGTTTTTTTTTATTATTGAGTTTTTATATAAGAGATGTTTAGGTACGAAGGAGCGTGGGTTCCTGTGTGTGAAACAAAGGCTAGACTTCATAGGCTGCTATCAGGTGGATGCTGTGCAGAATCTGGTTGAGCTCCTGAAAAGATAAAATAATGTTTACAAGTTTGAACTAAACAGACAGGCTCTTTAAATTCTAATAATGCAAGTAATATCACGGGGCAGAAGGCAAAATAAATGGAATGGCGTGCACGTTTATTAACTAGTCTGATGTTCAGGTTCAGCTAGCGTAAAAGCAAAATTATGATCTGAAATTAGTTAATGATATAACTATTTGAGGCCTCTTGTTAAAAAGTAACATTGATGGGACAGTCCGTTTCATTTGCAGGGTGGGTGAGCTTATTGCTACGACCGTTAATATATTCCTCTTGATATTGAAAGTTATAACAGCTGTTGTAGTACATAATGACGCATTTCAGAGAAAGAGATCATTTACAAATTCTCTTCGAAAATTATAACAAATATACTTCATACCAGTATTGGTTTCTCTAGACGTACATGAACAGATACAGATACAGATACTGCACATATATAAAATAAGTTTTCATACAGTGAATCGCGTAATGGACGGACAACACACGGAACAATGGAGACGACAGGCTGTGTAAAATATGTATCTGTTAATCAATGTGTAATGAGCACTCGAAATCCTTGGATCAGAAGCTCAGAACGATGACAAGCTCCATCCAAAATAATCTTTTAAACACAAACGACACTTTAAATTAGGTCAAAATATTCAAAATTAATTGTCAAGGCTGGGGAACACAAAATGTTCAAACAGAGAGTTACAAAGTGTAGAGGATTTCAAGCTAACTTAGGTTATCATCAAAAGTCAGATGAATGCACCGTTTATCCTGAACATTTGGTGTCCCATTGCACTGTAAGCAATAATTTCTGAGCGACACACATGTAGCATAACAATGGAAATACAGTAAAATGATTCATGTCATAAATATTTGTCGTAAATATTTTTCTCATTCTTCTTTAATATTTAATGGCTGTGGTTGATGAAGTATAGTGATACTCACAAACAATATATTTGCTTCCACGCCTTATAAAAGCTCTACCTTCTGACTGCTCCACACATACTGTTGCGTCTACACGCGACTTTGTCTAACTGCCAAGTGAGCATTCGGGAAGACAGCTCCCACTGCGATGACCAACTTGTTGTTATGCAAATAACAACAGGTATAGCTCATTTTATGTGAGAGGCTGTTACCGAAACTGTACATACCCCCCGTCACACTAGAGGCGGAATGAGCAAGAATGCCGTCGGAAATACAATTCTTTGTGCTTTCCTGGATATTCGAAGAGCATTCTTAAAATTCCGAATGCATTCCAAATATTTTACCCATTCTTGTGGCATCCCGAATGTTTTTCTCATGTTAAAAACTTTCGAAATGCATTCCAAGTGGAAAATTATCGAATGGCATTTGAGCAGTATTCTAACTGCACTATGACTGCATTCTAAATGTTCTCGCGGCATTCCGACAGCATTATAAACATTCTGATAACATTAGAGGAAGATTCGAAATGGCAAGTGACTTAAAGCCCCCGTCACACTTATTCGAAATCAGTAGGAATGAAGCAGAACCAGCCGGAATTACTAAATTTAAAAATTCGTGCCATATTCGGGAGGGAAATTAAAATTAATTAAAATTGTCATAAAATATTACGGCTTTGTAAGTATGCCTCTGGAATACTAAGAATGCACATCGAACCCGCCTGCAATTATTCTTGCACATTCCAGGTATATTACCTCTCAAATGCAGCTCGAATGTAGTTGGAATACTGTCGGGATATTGCGAATGTTGGAATGCACTTCGAAAGTTTTTGACATGACAAAAACATTCGAGCCGGCCACAAGAATGGCTAAAAATATTTAGAATGCACTCAGAATTTTTAGAATGCTCTTCGAATAACCTGGTATGCACTAAGAATTGTATTTGCGACGCCATTCTTAATCATTCCGCCTCTTGTGTGACGGGGGTATAAAATCCCGCCAGAATGTTTCGAATGTGCCTCGGATGAGCTGAAAAATTAATTTTTCCAGCAATCGAACTACACTAGTACGCCATTCAAAGTTTACTATAAATATTCTGACTGCCTTCTGACAGCATTATAGATATTCCTAGTTTTCCAACTACATTCGAACTGCATTTGAGAGATAAAACAGCAAAAAGTGCACTTATCATTCCAGGCGAATTCGAGCGCATTCTGAGTATTCAAACGGTACTCTTACAATAATTAAGGTCAATTTAAACTTTTTTTCCCGAATGTGGTGCGAATTTTTCAAATTCTTCGTTCAGCCTCATTCTTCGAATTCTTGATTCCTACTGATTCCAATTAAGTGTGACGGGGGTGACACGAATGTTCAATAAACCAGGTGGTGATACCTTCATATGCTCAAAGTCGTGCAAATATTCGATGTCGAATATGATACTCTATAAGGCCAAGAGTGTCTAACTGGGCCTACTACACGTGTAGCCTAGGTGTAACAGGAATGGGAGTCAGCCAGGAATCATTACTTTGTACAGTTGACGTGCGTCCATATACTAACCCCAATACTCCAATCTGCACTAACCTGTACTAATCAGATGGGAGACCGGACTTCCATTCCTAGGACTTCCATTCCTGTTACACCTTTTTTTCCTATGTAAAAATTATTCTGAAAAATCAGCAATGAGCAATGAATGTCTTTCTTTACACCCCCCCCCCCAAAAAAAAAAATCGATAAGGTCTACTGCCATGCTACGATGCATTTTGCTCAGTTATGGGAATTGGCCTGCTGACTAAAATGAAATTTTCAGCATCAGACCCACGTTCGCCATTCATGGAATCAGAAGTTAGCTAGGTTTTATAACGCGAACAAAGACGCGAGACGTCAATGATGTATGAATCATATCATTTTGAATATCCCATAGTCTATATACTGAGAGTCAATGAAAACGCATCATTTATTTATCAAATCATATTTTTGTTCCTTTGGCACATTAAGAAAATAACGTGTGAACACAAGGTGAAATAAAGGTCAGAAATGATCATTAAAATGCAAGGTCACGTAATCAAATCTCTTTGGTTCCGATCATCCTCCAGCATCCCCAGGGCCCGCAGTCACTCTTTCAGTGTCAGACGTGGCATCACTGAACTTTCTTGTCATGTGTCACATGTGGATTTGGTGACTACCTTAAATAGCTGAAGCGAAAATTTTAAACATCCTAGTGGTCAGCCCACTCCCTTATGACCAAACAAGTGCATTTGTACTCGTTTAAATGGTTGGAATCGATTCTCGGTAAAAAAAAAAAAATAAAAAAAAAAAAAAAAAATACAAGAAAGTTTTCTGATGTGTTTTCATTGACTGTCAGTATATATAACTTGTACCAGGTTTTCGACGGGTCTTTCATGTGGTCAGACCCTTGATATATAGCGTCAAGGTTCATATGAATGAGTACATGTAACAAGGACCAAATACAGTTTGGTGGGTTCTAGTATGACTACGAAAAACACGCTTGGTCTCATTATTTATTTTGTCGACTGACTTATTTACCAATCAGACTGTTAACGGGGGCGGATCCGGGATTATTTGAAGGGGGGGGGGGGGGGTCCGGAACGACAGACCTCGGATGCAAAGCCGACCATCGCCCCCTTGGTGTGGGGCATTGGGGTTTGGGGCCTGCTGAAGGGCCCCGAAATTTTTTTGGTTTTCTTAAGAGCAAACAGTGCCCTTTGGTACGGTTTAGAACTATGATTTAGCTAGTCAAAATTCTAATTTCAAGAGGGAAATATTGGTGTGATATATTTTTCAGAAACCGAAGGGGGGGGGGGGGGGTCAGGACTCCCCTGACCCCCGTCTATATCCGCCATTGAACCACCACCATTTTTTTCACTAGACTACTGGTATATAAATATTCATTTTTCACATTTTAGCTTTAAAATATCCATACTTCAATTAATTTTATTTATTTCTGCTGGTGTGAATAGTTTTAAAAAACTTGATTGCTCTTTCATCGCAAGCTGTTAAGAGGGAAATATTTAACAGCACTATGTATTAACAGAAAGCTTTAGTTCTAGAAGCTTTTGCAATCTGAGTAGAAATGGCACTTGAAAGCACAGAAATATGAATTTTTAGAACACTATATAAGGGCATAGAGAAGTGAATTCAAAGCAAACTATAAGAAGTAGGACAAAGCACTTTGAAAGCGCAGCTCAATTCAAAACCAATAAAACGTGATGTTTATTTTACATATTTTATAAGGTTACTGGATATAGGGTACTGAAATCCAAGTCTTTTCATTTATATTACGACTGTCCATTTTACTTAAACTCTACCATAGAACTTTTAACTCCTATCAGATCACTTCGATCTAGTGGACAACTTCAACGTAAGCGAAAAGACACCAAAAAGACTCTTAAAACATATGAACACAGAAGTTTCGAGATTTGTGCACCGATTTTATGGTCTAATTTTATCACAAGATCTAATGTGTCTCTGGATGACTCATATTACTGTTTTAAGAAGAATTTAAAAACTTTTTTATTTAAAGAATACTTTAATTTATAGCATCTTTTTAGTTTTTAAAATTTTTAAGTTTTCTGTTTTAGTCTATACTGGCTTTAATCTATCTGTGGAGTTTTTATTTTTTATGTAAACAGCGCTGAGACGCATGTGTAGCGCGGTTTTAAAGAAGTGTTTTATTATTATTATTATTATTGAATTCATTTTTGTGATGTTTTCATACAATATCATTGCATTATTTTGTACGGTAATATACATGTATGCCCAAATACATAATTTCAGATCAATTTCGCAAAAATTTAAACATTTTTAGTTTTTAGACCAAAATTAATTAAATGCTCACTGAACCGCTGTCTCTAATAACTTATTATTTTTGAAAAAAGTTTAATGGAAGCAGGGCGTGTCTGAATTTTAACATATTTATGCAGGTCAATAATCAATATACCACTTATTTATTTATTTATTTATTATTTTTTGAGGGGGGGGGGGCTTTTGCCGGAGGGCATGTAATGATATATGACTTTGTCTCGTTCTGTACAGCAGTACATGTAGTTCCTTGAAAAAAATCAAGCTGGTAAAAAAAAAAAATTAAAAAGTAAGAGAATTCAATTAAGCTCCAAACCCCACGGGAACAAACGTGCTTATTATAATGCTCTTTAGGGTAATATAGAAAATCTCAGGTGCAAACCTGGAAACACGATATCAATATGCCAAGCTTGCGTGCGCCTGGGCCTTTATCTCCTCAGGACAGATAAACGTGATATCCATACCAAAAAATGTCTCTAGACAAAGGCTTAGACCGGGTGCTTTCCAGGAATTCCACTTAAAGCGCATTCAGACACATCGCATATCGTACTAACTGGGTCGGTCCAACTCCATGGGGTATTCTCACTAAGGTACAGTCAGTAGAATTGGCTAATCTGCACACTGGTTAAGACATGGGATTTATAGGTGATGCTTTATTAAGCCATCGTGTAAAAGAGAAATACAAGACAGGTCGCTTATGAACTCAGACACGGTTGTCATAAAATTCTGATATGCTAGTCTGTTTCCTCATTTGGACCTCAAAAATTAACCGTTTTTCGAGCATACCAAATATAGACTCGATATTTGGGTGCTTAAAACGTTTCCTTTGATGGCCTTTATATTCTTACCAGATAATTACAACGAGCTTTAAATATACTTGATTTTCATTACAGCAGACAAACATGTACAGATGATTTATACAAGTTATCCTGCTTTGCATTTCGTCGTTAACTAAACTATATCCGAAAAAGAAGCAAGCAAATAACTTACAGAAAAGAAACCATTTAAAAAAAGGGCCCTTTACGCAAGTAGGCAAAAATTTTACTTGTGAATTTTAATTAAAAAAAGCACGCACGGAAGATTTTCAAAGAAATATTATAAAATCTAGGTCAGATTTCTGTCCTTTCACGCCCTAAGTACTCACAGCACAATGGGCGCCCCTGTAGTGGAACGGGTGACTTGTGGCAAGCATGTTTTACACATTCATGGATCCCACGGCAGTATACTCATCTTTATTCTTCGAGTTTCTGCTCTTTTCTCTCTGTCGTCCAAATATCGTTTATGAGATAAATGCATAAATCCGTTCTTGAGAAAGCCCTAACTATAATAACTAAATAGATTTATATGATGTATTACAACTTAAATGCCTCTATAATTCTGGATACGCACTAGTAAGTCTTAAGCACTGATCTTCATGTTTTCAAGGAAATAGATTACTTGACTGTCTAAAACTCTTTTACTTGGACGTATTTTCCACTATACAATAACGATACTTCTTTATGTAAAATATAAGATACGTAATAATATATTTAGTCTTAATTTCTTAAACCAATTTCCAAATTGACCAGTGGAATACACAATGTAGGTCTCAGCGTTTAAGACCGGCCAAACACTCCCATAAGACTAACAGTTTGCACACTTTAGTATCTCCCATAGTAAGATGTTCTTATCTTGCCTGTACTTGCCCACGGCCATCCAAGAAGCAGTCCGTATCTCTTTGCAACGATTTCTTCCCTTTCGCCATTTTGCCTTTGTGAATTATAGGGGTAATCCGCGTCAACATCATCTATGTCATTATTGCGTCTTACTGCGCTTTCATGTGGTCGCCATGGAAATGAGGACATAGACACGGTCCGCTTCCAGTGGTCGCCCCATGGATACCTAAGAATTGCTCCGTATCTTTTGTCAAGTTCGTTCGTATCAGGCTCATTGTCCTCGTCTGTGCTTTCGTCGAAATCGTAATAATACGGACCAGCATCGTTTTCCGGGTCCGATTCTTCATCTTGCCCCCAGTTTTCATCCCGTTTCGCCCACGGGAACCTCAGGATTGCCCCGTAACGTTTACTGTAAGGGTCTTGTAACTCACTAGTGTACCGCTTGCCGATGGGCATTCGGAATACGCTACCGTACCGCTTTCCGTAGGGTAAACGGAATACGCTTCCATATCTCTTTCCGGCGGGTAAGTTGAACACACTGCCGTATCTTTTCCCACCAGGTAATCGAAATACGCTTCCGTATCTTTTCCCACTTGGTAACCTAAACACGCTGCCGTATCTTTTCCCGCCAGGAAGTCGGAACACGCTTCCGTATCGCTTTCCGGCCGGCAGTTGGAACACACTCCCATAACGTTTACCATAAGGCATGCTGAAGACGCTTCCATACCTTTTACCAGAGGGCATCCTGAAGATGCTTCCGTAACGTTTTCCGTATGGGAAGCGAAACACACTTCCGTAACGTTTATCTGCAGCCATATCATTGCTTTGTTCGTCTGTGTCGTCCTCGTCGCCATCATTTTTCTGAACATCGGAGGCAAAGTCGCCCCAAACACCCTCTTCTGAGTCCTCATTATTGTCTTCGTGGCCTCGTAAAGCTTTATATATTGCCTTGGTTACCATATTTTTCTGAATGGTTTCATCGGAGCTGTCTCCATTTTGGGGTTTCTGTCCACCAATATGGTATACAACGGCCTTCAATGCGTCCGCGCACTCTTGCAATATTTTACCGTCAGTGCAGCAGGCCTCCTGCGTCGTCACGCCAAAGGTGTCACACAAGGCGCACGTGCTCGCACGCGGAGATGTGTCATCCTCGCACGTGCCTAGTTTCTCGACTGGGTCTTGACTGGCGACTTGGTGGCAAAGCAACACCAGTGCCATGAGGAGAGCACACCAGACGGAAGCAACGTTTCCCTGCATTCTGTAAGATGTAATGAAATTAAATCAACATATGCTGGGTACAATACAAAATTACACCAAGGACAGCTGTGTTAAAAATTAACAAAGACAGAAAAAGGATGAGCATATTCCCAAATTACGAACACATATCAGTTGCTCTTTATGGAACTCAAGAAATGAAGGTATCTTGCACACTTATTGGTCTTTCTGTTGCAACTTTGATCCAAGTTGCGGTAATGTATAGCAGTAAGGTGATTATTTTCAAAGAGATGGCAATGACTTATGCAGAGCGCTATTTGCTAATTCCTCTATTTCATCTTATAATAAAAAGGTTGGTTTTTAAGCTGTATTCAATAGATCGGCAGTTTCATGCGAATTACTCGATTGAAATTATACGTAAAGCCTGGTGTAGAGTTTCCAAGCCGTTCTGCTTAGTATGGTGATTTATGGGAACACTTTTGGGGACCTGAAAGCAATCTCTGACTGATGATTTATTTTACCTCTGACGAAAATCTCAATAGTACCCACAAGCAATGTATCTTCAACGGTGTTTCGACGCAATATATTGATTCCAGTCAATTTCATGGTATTACGAAAGCTATCGACAAGCCGTGTTGGCTTTTCCTTTCTTAAAGCTGATGGCGTCTGGAAATGGATACTGATGTTCATTGGTATTACATTATGAGTCTGAGATAAAAAATTACTTTTCACGTATCCTTTTTTCGCTTCTGCATCAGATGCTGTTCAAATAATAATTTACGTATATGTGAGAAGTGAAATGAGAGCCTATGTGAACATTTTTACTTTTATGTAATTGCATTACTTTCGCCACGACAGGCTGGTATTATTAAACATTAATCAGGCATTACCAAGAAAACAAGTAATTTCCCGTTTGTATTTTGCATCCTTCGATTTGGTTTCATCTAAGACTTTGTTATTGGAGAAAGCGCAAATCCAGTGCGTGTACATGTATTAATCTTAGATTCTGATGCAAGTGAATTCAGAGGGGAAACCTATGCTGCATTCTCATTAGTAAGCACTCTGTCTCAAGTATAAAAAACACCTTTGCAATTGCATGTCGAAATCTGGAACTTATTGCCGATTTACGAACAGAAATCAACACATCCAGTCTGATTACAGCTATAGACAATACTACCGCTTAGCGACACTATTGGCGGATTAATAGGTTTAATTGGTAAATTTGCGAGAGAGAGAGATGAAAAAAGTGGAGTTAAATGGTTTCCTTGACAAGTGCAATTACACCAATCAGTAGCCTTGATTAAACTGGACATTGTATGCCAGTAGGTTTACTGTTATTGCCACACAAATGCTAAATATATTCTAGTCTGAGAAGATTTCATTCCCATTTCTCCTCAATTAGATTCATCGCCCTTTGTGAAAGGAGTAAATGTTTATCAATTTTCTATTTGATCATTTTGAACTGTACCTTTTACTGTATGAAAGCCAAATGCTTTCTGAAATTTTAATTTTGGAATTGGCACGTAACATGCGTTGTAAAAGAGAAGTCTATAGTTAGAAAAAGTATCTTTGGATTTCGTTAACCAGTTTCCAAATGTTTACGATATTGATTACAAACTTTTTAGAACGATACCAAATTAGCCGTCATTTTAACGTTCTTCTGCATTAATGACGCAAATTTCATGGATGGAACTTTACAGAGTTGATTTTTGAAACTCTATAGTAGCCGTATACAAATCATCAGAGGTTAGTTTAAGATTTTAAGCAGTCGGCCAAGTTTCGACACAACTCATGCAGTAATAACTAAAGTATATAAAGCCTGAATCTCTATCTTTACAAACACGGAGATATTGTTTTGGCAAAGAGCCGCCAACATTTGTTTTTTGAGTGGTTCTTGAGCCGCCAACATTGAGTGGTTCTTTATTTTCAGACATTATTTTTAGTGGTTAGAGAACACTTCACGCGTGAGAAGTTTATAGCTTGTTAGACACACTACTTTAGCCACGTATATAGCAATTCAGGTTCTCGCAAACGTCAGCATTTCGTACCCGAAGGCACTTTTCAGGTTTCAGTGTAGAATCACAACCTCTTGTTGTTCTCATAGTAATTATATTGTTTTATGTCTTAAACACAATGGTATCCAATTTCTTTTTGATGATAAAATTCATATTGCCAACGAGCATCTGTCAAAGATGATGCTTAAATCATATTCTAAATCGATACCCACTTCCATGAGGATTGCAATTAATACAAAACTTCCTTTTTGTAGAATGGTATTACTTCTGTTACCAAAACGCCTTGGAGATTGTTTTTAAATATATATTTCGTTCAACCCAAACGTAGCTTGTTTTCATCCGTTGATTGCAGATGTTTTTTTTAACGATTAATGTAGTTTGATACAAGGTATACGTACCAAGTGGATAAAAAAAATAAGACGTCCTGAACAATTTGTTACGTCTCTTCAGTAGTATGATTTTTCCTGAATGTGGCCAACTCGAAATGGATTTACTTTTTACATTATTAAACTATTTATCAATGAATTCATAAAAGGGGGTATGGGGGACAGGGGATGCTGTTGTCCCAGATTGTAAGCAAATGAATGAAGTCCACATCTGTCGTCAAAATAAAAGTTCTGCTAAATCCAGTTGTTACAAAGTGGAGCTCATGTTGAAACGGAGGTCATTACGTGTCAGCCTTATTTGTCAGGTGAACTGAACTTGGGCTGTAAGCGATATCACGTGCCTAAAATCCCCAGTTTTGACATGCGATCACTTTACAAAAAATAACACAGTTTCGTTTTTCTAAGTTGAAAGACATGTTTGGTAAAGATTGGGCGTTCGCTTAAAAAGGTCATTCTTTAACAGTCGGACTCCAAATCAATGAAAATGGTTCAGGTGGAATATTCTGTAAATAGAATAAAAGTTCATTCTTAGGAAATCAGTTTGATAGATGATCGATAGCAAAATGATATCTGAGCCTGAACTAATTAAACTTTTCTACCGGGAGCGAGGGCCGCCTGTAATTGGGTTGGCAATTTCTAAGTGAATAATCCTGTTGTAAAATGTCATTTACGTAATTTTAACAACAAACTCGTTTAGCATCCTTTAATCTCAGTTGGCTCCATGTAACCGGAGATAACTATTAGGAAATTACGATCGCCGAGAAAAGGGGAAATCGGATTTTGTCGTCTGTCCTGGAAAATGCCAATGAAAAGGAAGGAATTAGACCCTGGGAACCATTATGCTTTGACATACCAACCAGAACCTAGTATTAGCGTTTGCAGTTAAAGCAATATATTTCAGTCTGTTTTATAGATTTTCACTGGTCGGCGGTAGGCTTTTACCGGTTTAAGGTCACTTAGACGTAAGAGATACAAATACAGTTAATACCAGCTGAGAATGACAGGTGGCGGACAAGAACCATTATACGTTGTCTACTGGAAGGTTGATGCCGACGTCCATTTTTATCCCTTTCTCGGTCAGTAGCATAGAATTATGTCGTGTCCTTAAAAAAAGACAAACAGTGCACGTATAACCTTTGTTACCCAACCAAAATATATAGATGGTGAAAGAAACAAGGAAAATCCTAGGAATTTTAGCAGTTCTCCCTTTATGAAAAAGGTATTTTGAATTCAAACCGCGCGATTTTTTATACAGTCTGGAGTGCAATCATGCGGTGATGATCTCCATTACGAGAACAACTCAACAACTAAAAACTAAAACTCGATACCGGGCTTAAAGATCGTGATTCTGCAGGTTTTGGTTTGGTATACCTATGTAATTCAGAGAAACGTTATGAAATTTCGGGGAAAAATGTTATATAAAGGTCTTATGCTGTATTAATGCTCATCGTTGAAAGATGGAGTAATGTAGTATATTGATTCAATGTAAGCTTAGGACCTAAGATGGACAGCATTTTTTCAACGATAGTGAACGGGCATGATCCATTGAAGATTGACTGAGATTTGACTGAAATCCTTTTAGAATCCCGCTATTACTCCCTGCAACTCATGAACACCATTTACCATGCACAACATCGTCAGCCAATACAGATTACAAGATACAGCTGCTATTATTGACCCCAAGGGTACCATATTTTAATCAACTCAAGAAATCATTAACTTTGTTTGCTATCAATCAAAGGGGCAGGTAACAAGAGGAAGACCAAAATTGTTATTGATATATGCCACGGCGGTTGTGGGCCCTATCAACAACAACTGACGTGAAGAATTACAGCAAGAGAAAATGAACAAATCAATTAACTAACGCAAATCTCTCCGCAGTCTGTGCGTTTCCTTTGATCTTAGCACGTTAATCTTGTGTTGCGTACCGCTTTACTTCTATACATTATCCTGAATTTAAGATTAAGTATCCGTGTTGTCATATTTTCTGTGATTACATATCCTGAAAAGCTACTTCCGATTTTTTTTCTGAAATAGACAGGAAGACATTGCGACCAAAGTGACTGGACTGTCATTTAGAACTTACGAAATGGATTAGAAATGGTATAAAATGTCAAATCCAAGTGCAGGAACCATGCGAACATTGACTGAAGAGTCGAGGATAATTGCACTTTTTTTTTTAGGAAATCGATTTGGTGAGAAGATTCTGGATGGAATACAGTTAGCTGTGATATCATAACTTAAAGTCAGTCAGTTTCATTAAATACGAAAAATGCTGTTAAACTTTTGTTATCTGTATCCTAATTGAATTATTAGCTAAAAACAAAAAGAAATCACGACATTAAAAAAAAAGTTCAGTTACAATGAATTTGAAAGAAAAAAATCTGATTGCAGTTATTGAATAATTGACATAAATAAAATCGCGTTATATATCAATTTATACGGCAAAACAATCATTTAGAACCAGAACCAAATACATCGGATAGATTGCATGGAACCGCTCATGGACAGATTGCTCTCGCTGCTTCCGATAATGCCTGGTGCTGCGAACATTTAAAGTGGCCATTATACAGCTTATCTCTATTCTAGTAACATTTATTGCTTCTGAATGTTCTGAACAATAAAGAAATGAGC